GACTACTGGCGCTCATTAACTGTTTAGTCCCGACAGCCGTTGTATTCATTGGCTTTTGTGGCGGTTTTGGCGCTAATTTTTTAACTATATTTATATGATTATTATTATTCTTGTTGTTATGACTAATCGTAATGCTGTTAACATTACTGTTGGGAAGTGTAATATTCTGTGGTGTGACGCGCCCCACAGCCAACCCGCGACAAAGTGCCTGTTTGTCGTTAGTAGTGGTTGAGGCCGAACCCCCCGATTCCCGACCAGCGCTGCCATCGAGCGAATCGTCGGGTGAATGGCTGGCGATTGCGTTCTCATCCAATGAATTGTCACCACTCGAGCGGTTGCTATAAAAGCGATTAATATATGTTTACATCAATGCTTTGAACGGTTTATTAGTTTCGAGATGGACAGACCTGATCTGTTCTTCGTCTTTATCATACCATCGATTATCATAACCAGTCATCCACATGGGATTCGAGCCCTCACTCGCGTGTTGGTTAGTGTTGGGAACATTACAACGAGTTAATTGACTTTCGCTACCAAACACTGGAACTGTTGCCGCCTTTAATTGTCTCTCATATCTATCAATAATAATTTCATGAATGGACACAATCTATAAACCACTTTCTTGGTAACAGACCTCGACTTCTGGTTGAGACACAAACAGATTACTAAAATTAAGAGCAGAGCCAAAAAGGCTGTCGTTCCCAATAGACAAGCCTTTAACTGGTCCTCCCATTCCAAGAAGTACTCCAAACTTTGTGTGGGCTATCATTTGGATTTAATAATGTTAATTGTATAATAAAATTAGATTTAATTTAAATTTAATTCTCACTTCAGTGACCAAAACATTGAATTCTTTGTACAATTCGTCTAAATATTCAAGATTTTTGTCAATTAGAGATAAGACATCGTTCACTTCGAGAATACTATTATCGTCTCGATTCACAAAATGTAAGTATAAATCAGTTCTGAAAATGAATTCAAACATTTAATTTAAATGATTAGTATTTAATATTCATAATATAATCACTTTTTCTGGTCGACAGAACCGTCTCTATTCTCGTGTATTTTATAGCTATCAATATTAACGGTCGCACCCGTGATGTTCGCCAATACATCTCGAAATTTATCCAACTTTTCTCTCAGTTCTTGTGGAGTAAGTCGTAAAATAAATCTCACTCTTTGGTCATCTCTTAGCAAATAAATCTAAATAGAAATAGAAATTATTTGACAATAGATTCATAATAATAAATATTAAATGCATACAAAAACAGTAGCGCTGTCTGCGAGTCCGTCTGTATCGTTGGCCAACACATCAAACTCGAAGTATCCCTTCATATCTTTTTGTGGATCAAAATTAAGGCTAATTTCACCCGAAATACGATTTATTACAAATGATTCGGAACTTAAAGTATCCAATCCTTCAGTCAATGTTTGTCTGACTTCTGATATAATAAAGTAATTGACAACAGAGTTGACGCCGACGTCTTTGTCTACAGCTTTAACTTCCATTATAACAGTCCCGAAGTCAACATCAGTGGTGAAACCGCCGGTAAATACTTTTTTAGTCATCTTAGGAGAGTTGTCGTTCACATCTCGTACACCAATCAACACCTGAAGCAGTGAATTATCTTTATTGTCGAAGTGAGTGATATTTGGAGGGATTTTGAAACAATCGTTTGTCGCCTGAACTATAAGAGTATAGTTATCCTTGAATTCGCGGTCTAATGATTGAGTTGTCGTCAATTCATGTGTAAATGTATTCAATCGGAAGAGGTGTCCGCCATCGCCACCTACGATATGATAACATGGAATAGACTTAAAGCCAACCGCGGGGTCTATCAAGTCGTAATCATCTTTGTCTATTGTCGGCAATAACTTGTATTTTTCTATTTCTATGATAAACAATCATTTTTTAATTCATTTCAAAACTTTGTCAATACTATTAACACAAACAAATGATTGTACGGTATATGAAATGCATAATTACCCGGAAGAGTATTTTCTGTAAACACAACTTGGAAGACATCCTGAGTAAATTCAGGCTCAAAGTCATCGACATTTGCCACCAAAATAGTTAGATCTAAATCAGTGGACAGAGATGTGGGTTCACCCAAATCGTATGCCTGGACTCTCAATTCATGAACTCTTTGCGCCTCTCTATCCAATTGTTTGGCAACAGTTATAACACCCGTCACTTCATTTATGGCAAAAGATCTCCAGTGATTGTTTGGCAATTGTCTCAATTTATATCTGACAACAGCGTTCACACCCCAGTCCTCATCGGTGGCCATCACTTCTACAACAGTTGAACCAATGGTTGCGTTCTCTGGTATGCGAATCGTTATATTGGAGGGCGGCTTAACAAACATAGGGTTGTGATCGTTCACATCAGTCACACATATATGTATATTAGCTGTGGAGGAGAGTTGTGGTCGTCCGCCGTCTTCTGCCTTTACAGACAGCGTATAATTGCCGACTCGACCTCTCAATGACGACCGACTGATAAGTTT